CTTGTTTAATTTATAAATTTGTTTCATACCTTTTAATTTTCGAAATATATATTAAACATCTCACATCTATTAACGATAAATTTACATTATACACACCTTATTTCTAAAAATATAATTTTATAAAATTAAATTAAACTTAAAATTTACTTCAAATCATCCAAAATATATCTAACAATACGTATTATTCGTCATTCAAAATATATTCTATCAATACATATTACATACTATCAGATTATTATAAAATCATTTATTAATATAAAGAAATTTCATGTAAATTAAAAATAAAATAGAAATAGTTATCAGTTTGAAAAGTACAAATTCTATAAGAATGTTGAAAAAAAAAAAAGAGTAAATGCATTGAATGGTAAAAAGAAATTGCAGCAAGTCTCCCGGTGGGATGTAGAGAGGTAGACCACGTGATAATTTCAGAAATTGGAGCAGAATTTGGTTCGCATGGCTGCTTTTTGGGCCATAGAAAGGTCCCAACATTTGACTCTTTTCTACTACACTCTTCAATTCTCTCTTTCTTTCTTTTCCTTCTTAATGTGGAACCATCCTCACCACAAAAAATGCATTTTTTCTCTCTCACAACATTCATATTTTCTCAATTATTCAACTTATATATATATATATATATATCTACACCAACTTCCTATATATGTTGCTCACATTGTTTTCTTCTGTTCTATGCCCAGCCTCACAAAATGGTATAAAAAAACCAGTAATGAGTAGAATAGTACAGATATCAAATGAAGAATTTGGTGTAGCTAGGTTTGCATGCTCAGTCACTGCACTCAGTAGTGAGAGAGAATAATATATATTTTCGTGCATGCATGTTTTCTCTATATAAGTACAATTAATTCCAATATTCACATCATATCATTTTGTTTCTTGCTCTGTGGAGTTATATATAAATATAAATATTTAATATATAGATATAGGTTGATGGATCTGCTGCTGCAATGCTGCATGAGCTTGTGTTATGTCAAACTGACTATATAGTACTGGAGATGTGTGCCTTTGTTTTTGTACAAAATCAAGTGCACACAGAATTCCTGCATGATGCTGCATAGATCAGTGTAATGGAAACTTAACCCTCCAAGGAAATTCCCAAGTCAACCAAAACCAAACACATTTTCTCATTGGAATCTGTGCATATGCACATCAATAATTAACTACACCTTTTGGTAGAGAATGTTTCAATTCAACTTTCCTTCATACAATATATATAATCATATGCTTCAACTTTGGCTTTTGAATAATCAACTTACTGATTTTGCAAACTGGGAAGATGATTTAATGGTGATTTTGAAAATACATGAGTTGCAGTAAGATTGTAAGATAAAGAAGAAAAAGGCTTTATGTTTCACAGTATAGTCTATAAATAAAGCTGTTGATATTTAAGAAGTGAAGTAAGATCTGATTTTTGCACTGACAGCTTTTTCCTTTTTTGTTTTTTTCTCATCTTTGGTGGAATTAAATGGTGCCAAAATTAAGAACCAAAGAAGGACCAAAACTAAGCAGAATCTTGGATGTTAATTAATCTTTGCTTAATGAGAAGTTAAGAACACGACCGGATGACTTAATGAAAAACCTAAGTGGGTCGAAGGATTTGAAAATTGTTTGAAGAAAAAGTGATTGTGTATATTAGGAGGAGAATCACATGGGTTGAAACTTTTAATGTAAAAAAATGGAGCCATTTACACTGAAATAATGAAACAGATGCAGTTGCACTTGTTCTAAAGAGTCCCTTTCAAATGTTCAAAAACGAAATAAAGGGGTGCGTTTGGAAAAGCAAGAAAGCGAAAATTCAATTAAGCATATCACAAAATCCACCTAGCCATATATCAGGATTAATCATCATCTGGGAGCCACTCATCAAACGGACCAAACTCAAAAATCAGATTGTGGGTCCGAAAATTTATTCTCACCCTCTTCAGTTTACTAACCCCATCTCACCAACAACATTATTAGATATCACGAAAAACATTAATTTAGATGGCATATGTTATAAATATACAGCTTCTGATTTTTCTAGGTTCTGCTCTTGTTCAGTTCAAAATCGGGTTAATGAGTTTTTGTTTTATTGCTTTGTCTACTTCTCACATTGCTAATTAATTACTGCTCCCACCATCACCACCATGCTCCTTCTTCCTCTAACTTATCTGGTACAAAAGCAGGGTAATATTGTACCGGTGAAGAAAAAATAAATCAAAATATCTTCACTTTCGATGTCTCTCCGTACGCTTGCATGTTCATTCCATTCAACTCAAAATTATAAGCTTCTTAAGTTTAAAAAAAAAAGAAAAAAAATTCTTGCTTTTCCGTTTCATAATTAGATTTGGCCTGCCCACAAACTTGAACTTGAATGTAAAACCATTTTATGTTGTGTGGATGTGAGTTTCTCAATTTGTTGTATGTGGGGTAAAATTGAATGGAAGGAGAAAAAAAAAATTTGACCTTTATGATATTTGGTACCAAAGGATAACATTGAAGTTCATTGGGTGAATGATATTGTAGTAAAGTTTTGTTTATACCTTTTGAAAAAAGTGAAAAAGATGGAATTTGATTGGATTGTGATGGTAATTTTTCCATTGAAGTTGTAACATGTATAACAGTACAGATCACCCACCAATTACCCACTGTCTGCAGAAGCCGCCTCATAAACTGAGTTTTTCTCAAACTCTCACACACTCTCACACCAATAGAGAGAAACAGAGAGAGAGAGAATTAAGGAGCAAGAGTAGTAACTTTTCTTGGCATAGAGAGAAAGAGAAAGAGAAAGAGAGAGATGGAGAAAGGAGACAAAAGGGTTCAGCTTTTTGAGGGTGAAAGTGAGATCTTTTAAACGCACATCCATTTAGCAAAGAGGGCATAGTCTTAAACCACAAAGTGTGAAAAGAGAGAGAGAAACACAAGAAAAAAAAAAGACTTAATGTGCACGCCATTGTGGTGAGAAAGGAAGATAGAGAGAAGAAAATGAAGTTGCAAAGCTAACAACAACACAACCTCTCCAAATTAGGGCTTTTATTCTTTGCAATCATATCTCTCTCACTCTTTCACTTCACTCACTCTCCAAACTCACACAGGTAAGTCTCCAAACACTTGTTCATAAACCCTTCCTTAAAAAAACAAAACCCATGTTTTTATTTTCCTTATTTTTCTCGAATCTCTTTTTCTTCTTGCTTGTTCTTACGACCTTATTTTGTAATCGCTTTTTCGTGTTTGCAGTGTTTGAGACATGTTGGACTACGAATGGGGAAACCCGTCTTCAATAATGCTAACAGGAAACGAGGAGACCGCAGCCGGAGCTTCCGACCAGACCCACCGTCAAATCTTCGACCACTACGCCTCGCACTCGCTCATCCCCGACCACTTTCTGCACGCGCCAACTCACTCCGCCGTCACCACTGCCGCGGCACCCACCGTCGACTTCACCAACCACCACCACCACTTCAACCCGCAGCCGCACCACCACCACGTCAACATCCACCACCACCACCCGTTCTTCGACCCACGCGCCTTCCACGGCGCGTCCTCCGCCTCCTACCCCCCACCCCCTTCCATGCTCTCCCTTGACCCGCTTCCCCACGTCAACGCCACCAACTGCGGCCCCGGGCCCGGACCCGGCCCGGGCGGACTCCTCCTCGTTCCCAAGTCCGAGGACGTCGGTCGGCCCATGGACTTTGTCGGCTCACGAATTGGCCTAAATCTCGGTGGGCGGACGTATTTCTCCTCCTCCGAGGACGATTTCGTGAGCCGTCTGTACCGTCGGTCTCGGCCGGCGGAATCCGGTTCGGCGGCTTCCTCCAACTCCCCGCGCTGCCAGGCCGAGGGATGCAATGCTGATCTGTCTCAGGCGAAGCACTACCACCGACGCCACAAGGTGTGCGAGTTCCACTCCAAAGCCGCCACCGTCATCGCAGCCGGGTTGACTCAGCGATTCTGCCAGCAATGCAGCAGGTTGTGGTGGCGCCTGTCTCTTCCCCACCGTCGGAAAATAAACATCAATCATTGATTGAGTTTGCCTCTCCCAAGGGCACTTGCGTCTTTTCGCTACCCCTTGCGTAGCAATTTTATTTCACTTTGCAACACAACACACTGAACCAACCACGGGTTAAACTTAGTTCAAATTAAATGTTCATTTAATTGGGAGCCCGGTGAAATGACGAAAACATCCCTCGTTTTCGTTCTTATTTTTCCACTCAACGTAGAAAATTCACGATTGAAATCTCTGGGTGGGTCTTAGAAAAATTACGTTGGTTTCTTAGAAATTAATGAAAATGTGTGAAACATGGAATGGTGATGTTTGTGTTTCTCCATGGATGTAGGGGTGGGGGTCCAAAAGACGAAAGTGCCCTTGGGAGAGTGTTGATAATGATTGAGTTTGCCGTAC